TTCTGGCGCACCTGCCGCTTGGCTGTCTTTGTTTCTCCGCTGTGTGGGCGCGTCTCAAGCACGTGGCAGCTGGAGAGGGCAGGCCAGAAGGAAAGCGACCTGGGTTTGTCTATGGCCGCCTGGCGAAAAGAGGACCCGGCTGCCCAGGGGACAGTTTCCCTCAATCAAGAAGAGCTCTCCGCTCCCTAGGCTCCTGGGCTTTGGGAGGGGAGGAAGGATGATTCACCCCGCTCCCCACACCCACCTCCGGTCCATCTCCTAGTTGGCCCCGGGGGACTACCTGGGAGTGGCCCTGGCACGAACACACTGTCCAAACTTTGTTCCTTAATCTCCCAGTCTGGTCACAGCCAAGCTTCTGGGCTTTGGGCTGAGAATAAAAGGCTTTTTGGAGTTCTCTGTGGAAGTGTCACCACCCTAGGAAGCAGGACGGCTAAAGTGGAATCACACACAAGGTTCTAAAAACAATTTAATGAGGAAATGTACAGGCGCTTCTCGGGGCCACTCCTATTGCCCCTCCCCCTCCATAGCCCCCTCCCCAACTCCGACTGCAGCCGCGGCACTCTGCTGACCCCTTGTGGTGGAGGTGGGCAACAGCCTGGGCTGCCCGAGACGCCAGTTGGCTCCTCCCAGGCGGGAGAAAGACGCGAGGCAGTCCGCTCCTCCCTTTCCAGCAGGGCCTGGCACCGCAGGGTGTGGAGGAGGAAGGAAAGAAGACCACACAAAGAAACCTGAGAGAGCCCCGGAGAGTTTGCAAGCTTTTGCTGGCACCTCCCACACAAACACTTCTTGGTTTGTTGTTCTAAGTAGGGCTGGTGTGGAATCCCTTCCTGCCTTGATCTAAGGTGGGCTCAAGAAGGCCCTGGTCCCACCACCTGTCTCAAGTCTCTCTGGTTCCAGGGCAGTTGTTATCCTTAGCTTAGCCAGAAGGTAGTATCCAGAGTCTCATTTTCAGGTGAGAAACTCTGTGAAATTAAGCAGTTTGCCGAAGGTCAGGCAGGTAGTAAGGAGGGATTCAAGCTCGGGTCTAATTATCAGTCTCCTTCCTGCAGGGACTGGGCCAAGCCTCTCAGTCGAAGCAGGTGCAGTTGGCAGGTCCCAGAGGCCAATTCCACTTTTGCCATAGGGCGGGCGCCACCACGCCCAGCCAATTCCACTTTTGCTATACCTTCTGCAGGGACCTTTCCAAGGACCTCTCTGCCCTGTGGTCACTCAGAAAGTAGACAGTCCCTGGAATCAGTCACTTCCCTTCCTAAGAGGACCACAAGGGATGCAGGTGGGAGCTGCCACCTGCTGCTTTCTCTGCCCACCCTCATTCCGGTTCTTGATGAGAACAGTGTGTGCGGAGTAGGGAGGTGTCTTCCCTGCTTCACTGGACATTCTCTTTCCACTGTCAATGTGGAAGATGGAGTTTGATTATTTTAAGAGTGGGAAGATTCCTAGGAAAATATCAGGTGCCAGACCCCGGGCTGCTTCCGTGACCCTTGGTACTGATGCCCTGAAAGTTTTTCAGGGGTCCTCCATTAGGCACTCTCTTCTGGGGATGCCATCTCAATCTCAACTCTGAAAACCACACCTTCCCCTTCTGTTGCCCCCTTCCCTCAACTCTGGCCTGTAGCCCCTCTGCCTCTCTAGCAAAAGCAAAATGCCAGCGGCTGGAGGTGCGTTCCAGCCCACCTGCAGTCAGGCAGCACTCAGGTTCGGCCAGCCCGGACTCCCAGCCTACCCTCTCATGGGATCAGGGCCAGAGTGGGACCCTCTCTCCGGCCACCCCCTAGTTCTATGCGGACTACAAGCCCCATGATGCCGCGGGGCTGAGCTCTAACTAGCTCTGCCCCGGGCTCCCGGTCCCCCTCCCCTCTCTCTGTATTCCCGCATCCCAAGCC